ACCTGGTGCGCATGTTACGGGTTCTGGACGCGCGCCGAGTTTATGAGCGTCGTCCGTAGATCGCGCGTCGTAAATAAATCCGATGGATCTGGTTACATCCCTTTGCCGCACACACAAGCACATTATAAGAATATTTAATGGTCAAATTAAATTGAATTCGAAATAACATTTACAAAAGTAAATTCATAAGAAAACCCATTCCCTTGATTCGCATGTGAATTTTGACAACAATGTGGTGCGCACTGTTCATGTGAGTGATGATCGAGTTTTAGATCACGTTATTGCCTCAGGGATTGTCACTGTGTGTGCGCGCGCGCGTGTGCGTGTGTGCTTGTGTGTGTGTGTGCGTGTATATATGTGTGTGTCAGTGTTACTGACCTTCGTGATACCTAAGCCTAAGGTGCCTAAAGTGGATTTGCGCCCTGTCACAGTGCGTCGTTCTCAAACTCAAAGTATCAGTTTCACTTTCACACTGGCGATCGTGACCCTATGGTCTTTCGCTACCCCTTCACCCTTCAAAATAATGTTTTCTGCATCATTGTATTTTTGCAAATTATGGTGATAAATACATTTTTTTAATTGATCAATTTGATCACCGCCAAGCCCAAGGAGTGGGAGTCGGTGATATGACTGATGAGTGATGACACACGGGGGCAGCCCTATAGACCGAATATTGCAAAGGGTTAGGGTTAGAGTTAGGGTTAGGGTTAGAGTTAGGGTTAGACGTGTAACCACTGCGTATTCGAATATTCGCACCTTCGGTATACCGTATAGGGCTGTATAATAACCATGACACACACGTGACAGACTCGGACAGTGCTCAGAAAGCGCATAGACAATCGTAGATCGATCATTAGATTTAAATTACGACAAATAGATTATCCTACCCTTTTCTTTGATTTGTTCTTCTTTTTATGTTGTACAACGGGAGCTTCTGCCATCTGGTACGTTGCTTGCGACTCTGTTTATATCATGTGAGTACAGTAACACCGGATATCGGGTGCAAAGTCTAACAGGAAGTAGGTGCTGCCACCGCAAACGATAGGAACTCCCAAACGACGAAGGAAACACCCGATCACTTGCAGTTTTGTTCAAAACATTAGCGTTTTATGTTCGTGTACGCGATCTACGTTGAAGGGATAGTGCCAAGAGACGCCTCGATAACCGAGAAACTCTAGCGTTTCGAAAATTATCGTTAACAGAGAAACATGGCTACGGCAAACGCTATCGGCAGTGTACCTCCGGGACAATCGGAAAATGGGTCAGACACAGACGAACTTCAAGTTCAGCAAGATCGGGATGCTAGCAAATCAGGTAATAAGCGATAAGAATCCTTCGCACAGACGTCCACCCATACTATTACTAACATATTTAATACTAGTAAGAAAAATCCCGTCCCCGCAACAACAACAACAACAA